AGAAAGAAAGAAAGAAAGAAAGAAAGAAAGAAAGAAAGAAAGAAAGAGGGAGGGAGGGAGGAGAAAGTAAATGAGATATATTATGGATGGATAGATAAATACATGGAAGGAAGGAGGGAGGGAGAGAGAAAAAAGGAGACGAAGTAAGGACATAAACCCTGGCTTCAGAAGACTTTGAAGCAGCACAGCAATCTACAAGGGATCTCAGAGGTCATCTAGTCCAACCCCCTGCTCCAGCAGGAGATCCTTACAGAATCAAAAATAACAGGGTTAGAAGGGTATATGTGTGTGTGTGTGTGTGTGTGTGTGTATATATATGTGTGTGTGTGTGTGTGTCTGTCAAAATACCAAAAACAGGCCAAGTAGCTGTATGGAGGTCATTCGTAAATTAGAACACTTGCTAATCAACTGGCCACTAAGCGAGGACCTGGTCATTAAGCGAGGACCACTTAAATTTGGGTTGCCAGACACATGACACCTGCCCGGGCCTTGCCTGGGCCTCTCCAGGCCTTGGAAACTGGCAAAAAGCACTTGCTAAGCAATTGGCCACTAAGCGAGGACCTGGTCCTTAAGCGAGGACCACTTAAATTTGGGTTGCCAGCCACATGGCCACACCCACCCCAATCACATGACCATGTAGCCATGACCACCCATCACATGACCACATAGCCATGCCCAATCAGCAAACCACTCCCACCCCATTCACATGACCACCAAACCACACCCACAGAACCAGTTGTTAAGAAATTTGAATCCCACCCCTGCTTAAAACGGTCATTAGGGCAGAGAACTGGTTGTTAAATTATTTGAATCCCACCACCGCTTTTAACACAGTAATTTTTTTCACATTCTCTGAATGTACAACGAAAGGTTTCTTCCCATTCTCTATCTATATAATCAAATCTTTCATGTCTCTGATCAGCAAAAATTCATTGTTACAAGGAATAACAACATAAATATTTTAAATTTCACCAAATAAAACAACTTTACACTTTTTCCCTTTGCTTTGACCTTTAATCTCTTTACATAGTCTCCTAGAACTTGATTTTGTTTCATTTGCTCTTTATCTCTATCAGAAAACCCTTCAAGGCTTTAACAAGGTTCTTCTTTAAATCCAAGCTAAAAAGTCATCCATTGCCCTTCTGTTTTGTTATTTGTGTATTAGTTAATAAAACATAAGCTGATTTCATTTGTATATCTAGGGTAACACTTTTTTCCATATCATTGTTGTGATCTGTCATTTTAGATACACATTCTAATCAGCCACAATCTCAGTTTTATCCAGAAAAACTTTTCCTCTTACACAATCTCTGTTAAATCCACATTTATGATAGACAATCTTAAGAATAATTTTTGAGTAAATTGTTCCCAAATATCCTTGCGTTTTTCCAAAGTTAGACTATTTTCCTCCATTCTGTATTAATGGGTCTCTTCTCCTTTAATTATAATTTTAAGTTCTTTCTGATTCCCTCTAGTGTCCAACTTTCAAAGTCCCATCTTACCATATTTTCCCAATCAACAACATTTCCCATAGAAAGATTTCTTGCACTTAATTTCAAAATCTTCATATATTCTATACAACAAAATTTATTTTGGTGAGGATTGAAGGAGAATCACCCAGTGTAATCAAAGTTACTATTCTGTAACTTCTACTATTCTGTAACTTCTACTATCCAGAAAGCAGTTAACAAGCAATTTACATAAATGATTAAGAAAGGAAATTTGCCCAAACAGGACTGACAGTGACATTTGCAAAGGTGGGCACACCCTTATCACCCAGTACTCTAAACTTGTCTTACATTCTCTTCATGGGGAGCTGTTCCTTGGAGTGCTTGGGAATGATCCTGAGTCCTTTTATTTATTTATTTTGTTCACAGAGAAGTTCCAAGTTTGCCATTGCTTCTCTGGAAGTTTGGTAAATGCAAATTATTCAATGATAATAATACTCATCTCTAATGATCTAAGAGCTAGAGCCCACTGTAACTACAAAGCCAAAAAGGCATTAAGAGTTTTTAACCTAACCCTGCATAGCTTTTTCTCCAGTAATATCACACTACTAACTAGAGCATACAAAACATTTGCTAGACCAATACTTGAATATAGCTCATCAGCCTGGAATCCACATTACATATCGGATATTAATACAGTCGGGAATGTCCAGAAATATTTCATGAGAAGAGTTCTCCACTCCTCTATTCATAGCAGAATACCTTATGCCACCAGACTTGAAATTTTATACCAAGACAACCTAGAATTACGCCACCTTCGGTATGATCTAAGTATAGTACATAAAATTATCTACTGCAATGTCCTACCTGTCAATGAATACTTCAGCTTCAACCACAACAACACAAGAGCACACAATAGATACAAACTCAACCTGATTGCAGGAAATATGACTTTAGCAACAGAGTGGTCAATGTCTGGAATACTCTACCTGACTCTGTGGTTTCTTCCCCAAACCCCAAAAACTTTAACCTTAGACTGTCTACTATTGACCTCATCCCTTTCCTAAGAGGTCTGTAGGGGGCGTGCATAAGTGCACCAACATGCCTACCGTCCCTGTCCTATTGTTTCTTTTTTATTCGTATCCATTTCATGTATTCAAAACCATGCTTATAGTTTACCTGTTCTGTAATACTTGCTTGACAAATAAAATAAATAAATAAATAAATAAAATAATAATCAAAATGCTACACATAGGAAGGCAAGTCTCTCTTGAATGTAGATGGAAACTAAAGTACTTAATGTAGATTAGCAATTACCTTGCAAGTCAATATTTATATTAAAGCAGATTCCCAAAATCCTCAGCAGAAGAAATTTTCAGGGATCTTTACAGTATTAAAGGAAGTTAGTAAAAAATCGAAGAGAAAGTTCAAGAAGTGATAACAATATGACATAAGCCACCCAAATAACAAAAAGAGTGCAGTAAATTTCAGATAAAATCTTGTCATAAAGTGTAAAAATTTTAAAGTATATGAGAATTCTCAAAGAATGACCAAACATTATAGACCTATAAATCTACACACAGCTGCAAATTTTTTAATCAGTATAATTACTGTCATATCTGCACATTGCTGAGTGAAGCATCTTGAGGGATGAGGAGATTATACAGATGCCAGTTGAAGGAGCCCAGCAAGGAGCATCAACTGACAGAGGTATGTTGCAACCTTCGAGGCAATCCCCTCATTTTCCAGAAGGAATTTTGCCCCCTGCAAAGAGTATCTCTCCAGGGTGGGGATTTTATCAAGGCCAGGGGTGGATTCATTGCCAATGGCAGCCAGCACCAATACAGCCCTGGTCTGAAGGGGGGTTGCCCAGACAACAGACAGCAGCCACTTCCCCTCCACCTGTCCAGGCCATGCCCATTTTCCTCCTGGCAACCACAAATGCAATCCCAACCTGCAGCGAGGCCACAGGTACCCCTATTCCAGAGAAGCACCACCCAGCCAGGCTTCAGGGGGCCTACCCAGCCTACGTACACCACCCGGCCTGTTCCTTTCATTCCAGTTCAATCTGCAGGGGCCTGGCATGTGCCACCTCCCCAACCACGACCCAGGCTGGATCAAATACCTTTAAGGCTGTATTTGATGGCCGTCATGAACATTTCAATTACTTCCTTGCTCGAATCCAATCCCATATAGAACAATTTGGAGATCAATATGCCACAGAGCGTGATTTAGTTACGACCATAACAGATGGGATGAATGAAGGGGATGCTTCAGACTGGGTGGCCCAAGTACACAACGAACAAGCCCCTGAACTACATGATGTAAACAGATTTATTCAATTGTTAAGACTCAGATTTGAAAATCCAGACAGGGTAGCAGAGAATGAAGAGAAGTTAATGGAAATGAGGCAAGGCAAGCAACCCTTGTCAGAATTTATTTGGGACTTTAGAAGGCTCGCAAGCCACCTCATGGATTGGCCTGAAAGAATGACTTTACACTACTTTAAAAACGCCATTGATCCAGAAGTAAAGAAGGACTGTGAAATTAGGGGAATCCCAGAGATCTTACAATCGTGGTGTGCCACCTCCCTTAGCTTAGATCACAGCATCAACCCACACAGGAAACCTCTTCCGGTGGCCCCGCCTAAGAGAATTGTGGCTAGGAGGCCACTGACCGGACCAACCGAAACTGCTCATACCCAACCCACCAGGGGGCTGAAATGTTACCACTGTGGCCAAGCCAGCCATAGAGCAGCAGACTGTCTGACCCCTACTCCTGTACCACAAGCACCGCAGTCGAAGTCTAATCCAGCTGTTAGAGGTCAGAAGAATCAAGGAAGACCTCCGGGCATTGGTGGGTTTGCCAAACACATCCTGGGAAAGGCCCCTCTGTGCAGATGGGAGCAACAGACCACCAGACTGGCACCACGTCCCTGAGAACCCGACCAGAGAAGACGACCCAATGGTGAGTGATCCCATCATATCTTTTACAGTCAAGGTCAAGTTAGTGGTACCAAACACGGGGAAGGCTGGAGAGTTAGAAGCTTTCATTGATACTGGGTGTTCTAGATGTCTTATCGGACTCTCTATCATTGAACAATT